TATATATATGTATATGTATAAATATTTTAGAATTTAACTTCTACTATTTAAAAAAACATTTTTTCAGATTTACATGCCATTAAAATCTGTTATCCATATATATATATTTAATCCTGTCTTTTATTTGTCAAATATTATATTTGTTAAAAATTATTTAAGATAAAGTCTTTAGATTGCAAAGTTAGATTTAACTTTTTAGACTGCAAAGTTCAAATACTTATTTCAGAAAAATATATTTATAACAAGTATGTATTTGAAAATTATTCAGTTTAGACAAAACAGCAGCTTACTGTTGTTATGATAATTTTTATTGTTGTCACTCTTTGACTTGTACAATTCAGCATAGCAGTAAGGAGACCTGGTCTGAATGGAAAACTTACGTAGAGCACGGTGCCTTTGCGGGGGTCTAGCACTCTAAGCTTCTTGTCTTTGCATGAGGTTAGGACCATGGAGCCGTCCCTGTTCCAGCAGGCACTGTAGATGAGGTCAGGGTGAACGCTGTCGATCCTTACAACCGCCTCCCCCTTAGCCACGTTCCACAGGATCACCACGTTATCAGAACCTGTACCAGGCAAACAAGTGCAGGTTCTCTGTTGTTCATAAACATGACGTTTCCATAGTGATAGAGAATAGGAAGAAGGCCTAATCTGCAAAAATATTAATAAATTGGCACTGCATAAAAAGAATGCAGAAGTCAAAAAGTGATAAGGTAGCATGCATGATTTAAAATGATTAAAGATTCAAGTTGCAGTAGTCTGTGACCTAAAGTGTCCGATAACAGAGAAAACTTGACTTCCCGTTGGTGCTGCAGCATATGTGACATTAATAGCATTTGCCTCTTTCCGCTTCCTGAAAAGTAACAGTTCCCTAACAAACCATTTATACAAAGAGATTACCTGCACTCAGCAGCACATTATGGGCGGTAGGGTGCCAGCTCAGGATGCCGACACGCTTAGAGTGGCCCTCCAGTTTGACAACAGGCTCTGTAAGCATTGAGGTGAGCCCACCATCTGGGATCTCCCAAATCTAATCATGAAAGGCCACATGTGATTCACATGAAACGTTTAAGAGCATGTTGGAAGAATTAGGAGGTTCTGATGCCTCACCATGACGCTACAGTCCTCAGATCCACTGGCAATGATGTTGTCGTTATGTGGACAGAACTCAATGTCAAGAACTGGACCTGTGTGACCACAGACGGTGGGGTAGGACATGTCGATACGTCCCGTCTGCAGGGAGAAACATCACAGAGATTGAAGGTGGCTACAAGAGATAAACATTAATACAAAAAAACAGCCAATGACCATGATGAGGAATGTAAAAAATGTTAGGAAACTGCAGGTCAGCTGATAGATCCAGCCTCTGATGTCTGGTAACCAGGTTAAAGAGCAGCTTAGGGCAAAAAGAGACAATCTCACATGTTTGGAAACCTAAAATAAACTCAATATGAACAGCGGTGAAGCAGCTACAGGTTGTAATTTGATGCATTGATGCAAAACCATTTATATAAGTACGTCCAGTTATTATGTAGTGCGCCAATACGCAATACTTCACTAGTTTTTAACATATATCAAGCCAAGTTAAATAAAATTGCAGCGGTAAACTAATAGGGGTATTTGCAAAACTATGTTTTATCTATTTTCTTTAAGAATAAAGATCTCATCAAAGTGCAAACATTTCTATTTTTGAACACATGAAGCCCTATAAAACATATCTGTTTAACCTCTTTTTTATTATTATTATTTTTGAGTGACTAAATTCACTCAAAATTAAGTTGAAATCAATTGGGATTTATCAAAAAGTAAACAATAAGTGTTAAATAAATATTGATGGATAAAATAGTACTAAAATAATGTTAGATTTGAAGCTTAGTAATGTAACTGATAATAGATTAAAACATGTTACCTAAATTAACATCTCTGACAGATGCTCCTACATGCCTCCGAACACTTACCGCCCCCTAGTGGTCATTCTAAAGTTCCCAGCCCATATAAAGTAAATCCTTTCTGTAGCTAATGCTTGAAATCTTCAGCTGTCTCCCTGCTCCAACACAAATCACTCAAATGGGTGAAGTAACTCAGTAGGAGCCTTTTGATCAGCCATATATCTAAACAGGGTGTGATGATGCAGGGAAACATCTAAAACATGCGGCATCTGGCCTTTCAGACTCACTTTGGACACCATTTAACCACCTGCTCCTCACAGGCCTGCTTTCTTTGTGATAACTTTTGTTTTGCATCTTCAGTTTACTGCAAAACTATTTGTTTTTTCAATAGTTTATGTTAGTAACGTGTGATCAGAAAAGCAGCAGAAGACACAATTAAAGCAAGAGGACAGAATCAGAATGGGAGCAAATGGATCTCAGAACAGACACATCAATGATTCAACAGCAACGTGTCCATCGGGCTTTATTCTTGTTTACTTTGTAACAGATGAAGGACAGTGAAGGTCTTTTGTTCATACACTAAAATGTGGGTTATCTTATTTAAACACTTCAGGATGCTAGCAAATACATTTACTTAAGAAATAACTTTTTAAGATATACATTTGTAGTGTTTACCCTAAATTTGATAGAGCTTCCTATAAAAAAAATGTAGTTTAGCCTAAATATTGCTTCGATTTAATTTCTAAATAAAAAGAAAAAATGACATTATTTCATGACTTACATTTCCCTTTTATTAAAATTAGGGTCTGACTTTATATATTTTATGTAAATGCCATAAATTGCAGTGTTTCAGGTAACTGATTTTGACCCACAAATGTTGCTGTTTTAACAGCCACACAGAGAAATTTGCTGCTAAGAAACTAAGATGCTTAGAACGTGGAGACAGAGCAACTTCGCAGAAGCCACATCCGGTCTCTGCACTGACATGACAACAAACTCCTAATATGGTGAAAACTCAACACCAGAGCGAGTGACGTGAAGAAAGAGTGAAAAGACGGCTTCAAACTTCCTTTTTTAGTCGGTTGCACGGCAGTGACAGCAGAATTCAAATTGCAATGTGCAAGCATGGCATTACAAAGACAAAGACATCAGACGTTTCTCACGGGTTTATAAACTGTACTTTTAGCAGGAAAATGTCAAAAAAATGATTTTATCTCTATGTGACCCACCTTGTTGAGGGGCAGCACCATGAAGGCTCCTCCACCGCTGGCATCCACAATCATGGCCACAAACTTGGGGTTTACGGAGCAGAAGTTGCTGTCCCAGGTCATGGTGGAGATCCTGATGTCATCGTAACATTGGTCGGCCTTTACAGCCTGGCCAAAGACGTGACGAAACTTACTGCTTCTCACAACCTTCCTGGACATGGTGAACTGGACAGAAAGCAAAGAAAACATTGGATTTTGAGACATCTATTTCAAATGCATAATGTATGTGTTCAATCGAACAAAGCAGCTTTGATGTCTTGTCTTTATTCATGCTATCTGATTTCAGGTTGCAACCAACAGAAACAAAGCTGACTGCAGTGGAGGAAAACTAGAAAAAAGGAGAAGCAAAAGCTTTCACAACTGCTTCCTCTTGTCCGTCTGCAACTGGTGCCTCTTCTCTCTTTAATTTGTGTCCCACTGAAGTAATTCTGCATGCTGACACAGCCATACAAGGCAATTTGTAAAAATATAACAGCAAGCTATGATTCTATAATCAGTGTGAGGTACACATCGTGCAACCCTAAAAAGGCAAAGCAGCAGGCAGAGCGACAGTTACACCACATCCTCAAAGAGGGTCAAACAAAGCTACACGCTTTCCCTTCATCTTCTTTCTTATTCAAACTCTCATCTCATCCAAACAAATGTGTAGCATAAATATAGGAAAAAAGCTTAAAGACAGGTCAGGATAAAAGCTGGAGATTTACCTGAAATCCTTAAAAAGAAACACAATAATCAGAATATGTTCAAAGTTTTGCATCATTTAAGCTGTTTTTTTTTTTAATCCCAGGGTGGTTCAGTTTTGTTTTACCTCCATTTGTAGATTTTACTTCCTGGAATCTGCAGCCGCGCCTAAGTTCAGCACCACGTACAACAGCTTGGCTACATGTGCATCACAAGACATCTGAGGCAGCCCTGTGTCTAATTTAATAAGGACTTCTGCAAAACTAGCTGTAATTTCATCACAAGCCCAAATGCATGTCAGTAATGCATCCCTGTCACTGGGACTCCCTGCTGTGATGGAAAAGCTAGGCCTCCTATGTGAAGCAAAAGAAACCTACACCATGTGGAATATGAGGCTGATAGATATTTAATTCAAAACAGCAAACAGCTGTCACTACAAGATGCCTTCAGAGAGTTTAGCAGGTCAGAAGTGGATGTGTGAGTGATGCTGCGGGCTTACCTGAGAGTCTCGTGGGGGGGAAGAGTCGGTTCAAGATGCGTCAGTGGTGCACTCTGCCACCAGAGTGAGGGCTCAGAGGAGACGGTAGGTTAAAGTACATCACAAAACGAAATAAAGGAAGTGAGAATTTCAAATGAAGGTGGAAGTGGGAGGTGTCTCCTGTGACATTTCAGGGTTTAAAAAGCTGTAGAGGGTGAGAGGAGAGGGAAAAAAAAAACATGCAACATCATGATTGTTTGCAAGATTACAACAAGATACACAAGACAATATAATTGAGCAGTGCTGATGTCTAGTTTTTGGAGGTGGGGAAGCTGTGACCTTCACTTCCTGTTCACAAGTCACCATCATTGCTTTTACTTTACATACTGTGTCTTTTGCCTCTGTTCAGGTTTTTGCTGAAGGTTTTTGTGAACACAAAATTATATCAGGGAAAAACTTCACGTCAATTTTGAAAATTTATATCGATCTTTACTCCAGCTGGAATGATAATGCAGCATTCAACAGCAATTTTAGTCAAAAATTGGTAATTTTCTTTATAGTTTCAATAGTAGGCCTACGTGATTGCACCTCTGAGCCTGCTTCCCCTGTTCTGATCTGTTTGCCTGACTTATCTTCGGTTTCTTGCTGAATTCTGTCTGCTTACGACCTTGGATCTGTCTCCTGACCTTGACTTGGATTTCCCTTCGGTACCTCTTCGGATCTCTGATATTCTGGCCTGGACTCCTGTTTACCTCACTGACACCAGTTATAGCTTCTCCTGCCGGAAACCCCTGCTCTTGCAGGAACTGCAGCCCTCTTGGCTTCGGCTCCTGGAACTCTCTGGGCAGCATCCGCTGGATGCTGTGGGAAGTCATCTGGCTGAATTCCACTCCTTCTTCTGGGCTCGGACTGAACTTTAAAACCAGGTTAGTGACTCACACACTCGTATCCATCCTCCGTCAGATTTTCATGGTCCCTAACCAGTTTTCCCCTCTACAGAGTTTCCAGCCTTTTTCATAACAGCAGCTGAGTAGCAGATTCGACGTATTGTCAGGGAAAAGCTATTGTAAATCACAGAAGTCTGTCTGCCTGAAATTTTGGGTCAAAAGTTCTTAGTTCTGTCAATTCTGTGCTTATAAACACTGCTGAAACATTTCCTCATTTAAACACTGAAAGTAGAACATGTACGACTGATTAAATGTTATAAAAACTGCTAATATGAAACTTTCACTTACCTGAATCGGCATTTTGAATCCTGAAGATGTGCACTGATCCGACTTTCCGACTCAGAGGTCATTCCAGTTTTAATCTCTGACTCGGAGGTCAAAATTCCAATTTCTGAGTCCACCGGAAATGCATCATTGTCTCTGATAAGTCGCCCTCTAAGTTGGCGAGTGTTAACATCTTTGAGAGTTCTGACCCTAACAGTGTAAATATCCAGTTGGGAGTAGCAGAGGTTTCTTCTAGGAATGACCAGCCTTGACGGGGATTCTGCCCAGCATCATCACAAAAGCCTACATACCCACCTGTAGTACTTAACCTATAAACATATTTTCCTTGCAAACCTGGCACCATTTTTTTTTTTATAGAAACAGCCTTTTTCTATCAGCATCAGATATAGTCTGAAATAATTCAACCATATCACAATCCCCAAAACCCCAAATCTATTCCCACACAAAACTGGATTAGATCTGATTATTTCAGCTCTCTTCTTGGCAGAGTAGGCAGTGTTAATTCAGGTATGTGGTTTTTGGGTTTGGACCAGGCTTTTAAGCACAGTCTGCTGAATTTTAAACAGTAAAGGCCTATACCAATGTTAGACATCAGTGACCAGTAGAACAACCCAAATGAGATCAAGTATCAAACAGTAGAACCATCCAAGCTGATTGGGTGATGTGACATGCTCTTACTTTCAAAGATAAAAACATGAATTCTTACAAAAAATGTGATAGCAGCAGCTCCACATATGTCCTTCTGCACTGCCATGTTTCTTTTGGTTTGTCTGTGGGCTCTGTAGCTCTAGCTTTTGCTATAGGTTCTCCTTAAACCATAATACTGCAAAATGATTGGCCGACCCATTTTGGGTCTGTCTGCAATGAAATTGGAGGGGAAGAAGATGGATCGTCATACTGTATGTTTGTGAATGCATAAATACAGAGATAATTCTGCTTGCAGGCATGGGTACTGCATGATGCTGCCACCACCGTGTCTTATTATTGCTATAGGTGGTTGTCAATGGTCATCTTTGTTTTCAATGTGCAGAAAAAAAATATAAACCCACATTTTGGCCTAAAATTCAATTTTAGTTTTAAAGGAGCATAGCATAAGTTCCAGAGTTTTTTCAGACCTTTGCCAGTGTTGTGCAAGCACATTGAACAAGAGAAAGCCTCAGTCTGCCGCTATGATGCTCAGGTCTTTAGTTTAAAGGCATCATTTATTCTGAGGTAAGAAAGTTATAAATATTAGAGTTATTTTGAACAGAGAATTTGAACTTTTTAGCAAAAATAGGGTCAACTGTGGGCCCCTTTTATTCCAATTTGACTCTTTATTTCACACTAGGCTATTTTTTTTTATTTTCCAACTCTTTTTTTTATCCATCTTTAGAAACCATGTTCTCTTACTAATGGTGAAGGAGGCTCATCCAAGTAGCACTTCACACCCAAACACCCGGAGAGCATGACCCGGATGAATCACCCCTTCATAAACTGACAAATAGAGCATATAGAGGCCACTTTGCTAAATAAAGAAAAACTCATTATACACGTGGGGCAATTGTAAAGGCATGCATTAGATATAGATTTTTTTGTTTTATTTGCACAATTCATCATTAACAGAACATTTCTATCTTATATCTTAGCCAGGCTGGAAAGCTTTCTCCAGAAGAAATAATCTGTTTTACTCAGCATGGAAACATTTGGGAGATTGTTGGAAACTATTGCAGCTTCAGTCTTTTATTGCTGTGACTTTGTTGACCTTAACTTCTTGAACCCCAACCCCAATTGCTAACCATTGCTGTAGCTAAAAGATGCATTTGAGAAAGCACGAAAAAAAAATTTTTAAGTTTATTTCAAGCTGATCAGATTCAGGAAGACAAAATGCTCTAAATTAAACCCAGTTATGCAGCAGCAACGTGGTTTAAGGGGTGGCACACTTATGTTATTAGGTAATTGCAGCTTGTTTTTTAGATTTTAATGTTTCCTCCAGACAGATTTGTTTTCACTACTTTATCCATGATAAAAAAAAAAGGGGTTTAAATACTGTAGTTGTTAAACATCAGCAACAACTCTCTAGTTCAGCGTTTGTCCAATGTATTTTAAACAGAAATGTTAACTGCTTGATTTCAGATGCAACCTTTACCCACTGCAACTAAAAAAACTAAAATTACAAGGAAGAGAAAACAAATGACATGCAGACAGGTTTAAAAATATAGATTTAAGTTTATTGCACAATCGTTGCTGGAAACTGAGGAGTTGAGAGCCTGTCTGTTACACAGGATGCTAAACGGTGGACAGACATGAGGACAGCAGTGCTGGAACAAACTGGGTGTCCTGTCAATAAGCACACAGGCACAGTGGGAACGCATCCCGTCAGTGCAACATCTGAGTAGAACAGGTTTCATGCTTGCATGGGTTCAGCAGGACAGTCTCTACACGCATATGATCAGAGAGGGTATGATGAGCTAAAGAAATGACACATCATCTGGTTTGGCTGAGTTATGGCTTCAGTCAGTGCACACGAGGTTCCACCAGGTGGAGCCAAACTCACTTATAAGAAAAATGTGGAGATGCAGCAGATAAGACAGGACTATAACAGACAGACCCTCCTGAAAGCTCCCTTCATCCTAACAGACAGGGTTTCCCTTATTACATTAGCACAGGACTGTGCAAAAGTTTTAAACCCCCTTTCATTCTTTTGACAAAAATCAAACTGGTCCCTATCAATTGTGTGGGATTTATAAAATAAGAAAGAAGTCCTCAAAAGTTTTCTGTGGAGTTTTGCTGCTGATTTACACATTTCAAGTCAAGTTCAGAGTGGATTATCAAGAAAAGTAAGTTACCCTAAAAATAGGCTAAAATCAAGTTTAAAAAAAAGCAGCTCGGGTCCATAAAAAACCTTTGATGAAGACCTTGATGAAAACTTTGAAAAGTGACAAGAATTTGTGACTTCTTTACAGAAACATGTAAAGACATAAGGGAGAGCCAAGACTTTTGCACAGTTCTGTAGACCAGTGTCAAAGTTCCACAGAATGACAGTTATAATAATAATTTTTAACAATACAGATAATTCCTTATAAACAGGTTAACAGGCTGTCCGGCACCTGTGATATTTAAAAAAAATGAGTTTTGTTAGTAATGTTTGATTTTTTTTCCCCATTTGATCTTACAGTCAAAAGAACAAACACAAGCCTTCAGACCAAATGTTTCCCTTCTTCTGCCTGTTGTGAGCTTCGTAGAGCAAACAGACTTGTCTAAAGCTGGCAGGTGGAGCCCGGTTTCAGACAGCAGAGGTCAGGCCTCAGAACGTTATGGCACCCTGATGTTGGAGTGAGGGGATCAGAGTGCCGGTTCTTACATGAGCTTGGCGCAACCTTTGGCTGATAATGCATAGATTGACCGGTGGAAGTCAGGAGGTATCTGCATGCCCACCAGGGAAGTCATAAATGTCTCACTTGGGTCTAAAACTTGGGATACACTTTGAAAGCGGCTCTACATTTAGCATCCAAACAAATTGAATGATCTTTTCTGATCTTTACATATATATGGACACAGCTAAGCAAAAACATTTTTGATACTGATATCTATAGCGCAGCAGTGAAGCCTATTCTGCTTCTGAAATAACCTCCTCTTTGTCCTCTCTGAACTGTATGCTCATTTAATCTACATACAAGTATTTACATTAGCTTTATGATCTAAAATGTGTTTCTTCCCATCCAGAGCCCTTTAAAGATAAGTGATCAGTGCTGTGGGTTCCAGGAGAGACTCAATTATGATGAATAGATGACTGGCTAACAGTATGAGACATCCGTTTCTGTTTCCGAGCTACGTTCATGCAAAGTTTTAGTTTCATTCATCGGCCAAAATACATTAGTTTCTGCTTTACATTGCAAACTCTACTTACAGCAGGTAATAACAAGTATGGGGGGAGGTCCAGCAGAAATTAG